TGAATATGATGAGAAACAATGCAGACCAGCAACGAGACCAGTGGGAGGGCGCCAACCCCCCTGGCACAGCCTGGAGCTCCCAGCATTTCCCTCCTTTGTTCTTTCAAAATAATATTATTTATTGAGCGCCTACTATGTACCAAGCTTGCTTGCGTGTGTGGAAAACCAGACAGTAATAATGTTGGCAAATAAGACAACTTCTGATGGACGTCTCCAGGCCGCCCTGCTCTCTCCGCTTCCCCACCAGCCCCACACTCCCACTCGTCAGTCTGCCGCCTCACACCTCTGTTCCCGCGCAGACCTAAGGCCCCGGAGTCATGACATCTCCCTTTGTAGGTGACATCAAGAAGAGGTTTCCAGCCTCTCAGAAGTCCAGAGGAGCCCCAGCCTCCTCCATTTTACGAGGCTCCTGGTCCAGTGGAAAGTTAAGAAACGTCAAAAGGTTTAAACGCAGTGTGACTTCTCAGGGATCCATTTAATACGTCCATACTTGAACCCTGCAAACCCTGGTGCAATAGGATTGGCCCACTCAAAGACAAACACAGACGTTTCAAAGGAAAGACGGAGGCACACAGGCGGGCGGTCCAGTGACGGGGTGTAGCCTTAAAGCTGCCGGAGAAACGACTTCTCCTCAGAGTCTCCCCAGTGGTTCTCAGGGACTGAAGATGTAGCTTCAGAAGTCAAGGTTGAGACCGCGGCTGTGAGGCTGGCAAACGCCCCCCAGACAGCCCTGAGAACCACCTCTGGTTCTCAAAGGCAAGGACCCATTTCCCTCAGGGCCATGACACAGAGGAGGCGATACACCTGGAGGCCCCGCCTTCTCGCCCGCCCCGGGGGGACGCCACCCCTGTCCCTGGAGACTCTGCATCTCCAACCGCCTCCCACGTACTCGTCTGGAGTGTAGTGTCTTTTAAAGTCAGCTCTCAACCGTCGTCAGGGAGAATGGGAGGACCACAGACCCGCAGGGACCAGGTCCATCTGTTGCAAATGTTAGAAAGCTGGACAACGCTAAGTGTTGGTGAGAATGTGGGGCGCGAGGAACCCCTCTGCACTGCTGGTACAGCTGGAAGAACCCGCCCAAACGACACAGACATGCCTCCCACCACCCAGCAATCCCCCTCCAAGATGTGCCCAGAACGAGTCCCCCAGGACCACGAGGGGCAGGTGCACAGACTTCCGTGACACCGTGGTTTGTGCAGCGGGGCCTCGGAGCCAGCCTGGTGCCCTCACAGGGGATGGGCCAGCAAGCGTGGTCCACGAGCAGGACGGAGCATCGCGTGGCAGTGAGAAGTAACTCACTGGAAGCCCACGGCCACAGGGGGGACTATAAGAGGACAGGGCCACATGAGAGGCAGGAAACAGGACAAGGTCTAGAGCAGGATGGCCGTCAGGTTCCTCAAACACAATGCTCATCACAGCGCAACGTGCTTCACACAGACGCAGATTCAAGGTCACACGTCAAACACACTGAAGGGTCGTCTGTGATGGAGAAGGTAAGGGGTGGGGGGGTAAAAGGGAAGAGACAGAAAGAGAGAGAGAGGGAAGGAGGGGAAAAGTGGGGAACCGGCAGGGACACACGGCGGGGCCTGGGGAGTGGGATTAAGTCAACCCTTCGCCCCAAGGCGGCACCACCATGAACAAGACAGGCAGTTGCTCCTTGCTGTGACGTCCCGGTGAGCTTTGGGACGGCAACATAACAAGATCTGGCAGCTTTTCAAATGGGCAGAAGCAAAAAGCAAACTTGGGGAAACACAGGTCATGGAATATAATGATCTAATTCAAAAAGAACCAGAGAAATGACAAACAGAATTTTCTAGAAGTTGGTGTCAGCCACTGGGGTTCATCCGTGACAGACCAGTACAGCCGGTCCAGTCCTTCACCAGGCTCCCAGAACCACACAGACTCCACCTTCCAGCAGACTTGAGAAAGGCTGAGGAAGCTCGGCGGTCAAGTCCTCGCCCACCCGGGGCCGTCGCTGGTGCTGGTGCCATGAGGAGACTCCTCAGCACCCGGGCCGTGTGGACACTGGGAGTCTAGACCCACCTGAGAGGCAAGTGCTCTGTCGTGGTCACACCTCATGGGTAACCCAACCAAAGAGTAAGAGGGGACGCCTCCCAGTGGTGCCGGCCCTGACGTCAGTTCCCCTACATTAAACCCAGTATATGTGGGGTTAAAACCGCAGCACTCTTTCCCTGCTTGCCCCCCCGCTCCCTGGCTCCAGAATCCACCATCCTCCATGGAGACAGACACAGCTGAGGACAAACACCTGGGTTCCTTACCATCTCCTCCTCCCTGCAAACAGCCTCCTAAGGCCGAACGCAGGCTGGTGGGGAAGCTCCGAGCAGCAAGGCCACTGACTCCCCCAGCTCTCTACAAGCAGCCGCATTCCTCACAAACCTCACGGCCTCCCCTCTTTCAGGGAGACGAGGCGAAACAAGACAAATCTAAGGGCTCACTCTTGTCTCCCAGCTGATGTCACCCAAAATAAAAACGCTTTCCGTGCCAGAAGCCTGCCGTCCAGTTTTTATCTGCCCCTCTTGTGTGGCAGGTAGGGAACCCACATTTGTGGGTGGTAACACCAGGGAAGCTTAAACATCTGTGGTCATGCTCTAGGCCAGCGGTCCTCAAAGTAGGGTCCCAGGGCCAGCAGCATCCACACCCCTGGGAACTGAGAAACAAACCCTCAGCCCCCCAGACCTGCCCAGAGACTCTGATTCGGAGGCTCACGGACATTTGAGAATCACTCTTCCCATTAAAACTCCAGCCCTCCTTCCAAAAACACAAGGAGGGGATTTGAAGTGGGAAATGAAGGAAGCTCAGGAAAGAGCCCCCGGCCCTGTTCCTCTCCGCGTGCCCCTTGCAAACACGTTGTCCTGTCCCCAGCGCCAAAGACGCGTGGAGCGAAGTAAGGGAGACTAGAAATCACGGTGCCGAGAATCGGCTGGACTGGTTTGCTGCCCTTTTTTAATCGCTGGGAGTTCTCAGCCGCGCCTGCCCGTCGGCTCACCTGGGAAGCTTTGTAAACCGCCCACGCCCACGCCCGGCATTCGCATGTGGCTGGGCCCCCACATCTTTGCAGACGTGCTCTGGGCTGAGCCGACACAGATGCCTCTCGCTGGGATGGGGCTGGGGGCAGCCCCTACGGTTCAAACATCTTCCCCTGAGGACCCCGACCATGCCAACCTTTCTGACCCAGTTTGTCACCTTCTCAGATGGGGAGGGTGGTAAACATCAGCTGCCAGCCACTTCCCCAAAATATCCTCAAAATGCTTTGCTCCGTGTTCTGGGTACAGCGCCATATGGCCAGCCATTCAGCCCTAGACCCTGGGGCACAGCTCAGTGACCCCTCAGTGCAGACAGGGCTGTCCACCTGCCTTCCTCCCACACCACAGCCCCACGGGGAGCCCCTGCCGGATCGTACCCAACTGCCCTGCCTGGAGGCTCCGAATTCATGTGACAGGAGCCCACACCACACTCCAGGAGATGAAACCCTGAATGCCAGGCACAGCGGCCGGGGGGGGGGTGGGGCGGGGGGGCGGGGGGGCAGAACAGAAGCAAATTCCAGGAGATTCTGGCAGGGCCAGCAGAAAGCAGAGGGGCCGGGTGTCTGTGGTCAGGAAGGTGGATATTTCCCAGAGGCCCCCAAGACTGTTCCCCCAAACACAGGTGAGCAAGAAGTGCTTCCCCTGCCCTCAGCACCTTGTTCCCTCCCCGTTCAGAAACTAGACCCAGGGGAGAGGGTGCCCCACGCCCCCAAACACAGAGGCTGCAGCCTGGATGGCTTTCCTCTTCCATCTCGTCTTCCATTTCCAGAGCGAGCTCACTCTCCTTCCCGGGCCTGCTCCCATCTGTGCCACCACTGTCCCTTAGTGAGGGGCGTCTCTCTAGTGGAAGGAGACGATGCAGGGAAATGCCCGTGGAACCCAGCACCCTCCTTTCCCCAAGGCCCGTCCTTGCTCACCCCATCATCCTAGCGACCTGCAAGGAGGCAGACGGGCAGAAGAGTCTGAGGAGCCCTTGCCCCAGTCCCTGCAAGAGCCGCCAAGGCCCCGCCTCCCCTGGGCCCAGGACTGAGTGGTGAGCCCCATCCACCCAGCCCTCAGCCGGATGGTGGGGACAGCCAGTGTGGGCTCCCTGGGGACCGGAGCAAAGCTGCTCCTACAAAGGCCTCAGCTTCAGGAGAGCAGGCCGCCCCGCGCCCCGACCCGGGCCCTCCCAAACCCAACTTCCCCGGGGCAGCTCGTCCTGTAAACACTGCATTTGCAGGTGAAAATACGGCTTCCTGGGGGGACTCTGCCGGGCGAAGGGCCTGCTGCGTGTACACAGGCACACGCGCACACACACATTCTGCCGGGAACATCTGTTTTGACAAACAAATTATTCAAGTCAGTCTACAGGACGTGAATTGACAAATTCTCCGGCGCAGCTTCCTCGCTCCGTGTATTTCGAATCGGAGCCGGGCTGTGGATGACACACCAACTCTCTAATTTTCTGGCCCCCATCCCCTTCCCCACGCCTGCCCTGACCGCACCAAGACCACCTCCGAAGCCTGGAGAGGCTCAGATCTGGAACGACGGACATCGCCCTCCTGGGTTAGGAGCATTGCCTGGGATGACGGCAAACTTTCCCAGAGGGGCTTTTCTGCAAAATTGGGGGTGGGAGGGGCTGAGGGAACCCCACACTGAGAGAGAAAGCGGGGGCCTTGCCCTTTCGAAAGGGATCCATCGGGGCCAAGCAGCAAAATCCAACATCAGGAGGAGGAGTCGTCTGGAAGCGCCCCCTCTCCCCGGGCTCTCCTGCACGGGCATCCATGGCACCCTCGCCAGCGCGGCTGCCTAGACCCCACGCTGAAGGGCATCCTCACAGCGCTGGAAAATAAACTTCGGCAGGGCAAAGAGTTTCCGGCTATCGCCCCGCCATCCCCGCTGCGGCAGCTCGGTGCGGAAAGGTGGAGGGACACGAGAAGCTATTTTTAGAAGAAAAAATAAATCTCAGCCTACCTTCGAAGCAGCAGTGCCAGGACGCGAGCAGGCGGGAGGCACACGCGGGGACGACTGCAGTCTACTGTGTCAGATTACAAACTGGGGGCCAGGGAGTCAGGAGGGAGGAGCGGGAGGAGGGAGAGGGGAGGGGGAAGTGAGAGAGAGGGAGAACGAGAGAGGGAGGGAGGGAGAGAGGGCGAGGGCATTGGTGTGTCGGCTCTGCTTGGATTCAGCCAGAAATGATTCATTAGTTTTCTGCAGGCAGCCAGCAGGCAGGTGGAGAGAGCGAGCGCGCGCGCGAGCCAAGCATCCGCCATGCGGCGGTACCCAGAGCCTGTGAAACGTCAGTGTTTAAACACACACACGCACATGCACACACATGCATGCGTGCGCGCACACACACACCCCAAGATGGCTTTCCCCTCCCTGCCAGTGTCTTTTTCACGGACCTGTGGTCAGAAGCTGGGACAGAAATGGAGGCGAAACAGCAATTCGAACCACGCAGCGCTTGGGGTCTCCGACCTTCCGCAGGTGGAAGCGCAGCGCGAGACCCCCTGCTGGTGGCCAGGGGCCTCCCGCAAGCCGGCCTGGCCGCCGAGTCAAGGCAAAGGCCGCCTCGCTCACCCCCACGGAGCCGAGAAACTCACCGCGGCCAGGAATTAAGTGATTATGTGGAACGACCCAAGCTGCTCTGGGCTTTATCCTCTGGTCCGGCTCCCCCGCCCCCCAAGCCTGCAGGATAAAAAAGAAAATAAAACGGCGTGTCCTCCTCCCCCTCCCAGAAGTTCAGGGTGTTGCACAGACGGACCAGCTACCTAGCAACGCGGGAGGGGGAGTGGAAAGCTGGGAAGATGTGCTGGACTCCACATGCACAGACACAGAGACTTTCTTCCTGAGCACAGAAGTCCCATCATTTGTGATTTAAACATGTTAAACAATTTAGCTCACGAGAAGGAAAGCCCCCTGGTGCTGGGCCCCACAAACCCTAATTGCAGCTCTGAGGGGTTACCCGCGCCCCCCTCCTCCGCCCCCCGGCGGCCTGGACAGGACACACCAGAACTGAACGCCTGCACGCACCGTCGGCAGGTCTTTTGTCCAAAAGGGAAAGACTTCTCCCCAGCCGCTTGCTGTTCCTTCTCTAATTAATTGGCTTACAAAATGGACTGTCAGTAAAACCCAGCACATCCCTCCACCACAGTGGTTTGCTTGTGTGTCTTAAATGAACCACAATGATCTAAAAGCTAAATGGCCAGAGGGAAACTCCTGCCCAGGACAACGTCTCCATCCGTCACCATGGTATATGGGTTAAACAAAAGTTTTCCCAATCAGGCCTCGCTTTTGCTGCCCAAATATGGAAAGTCTCTGAATTCGCCTGGGAGATGGAAGGCTGCCTTCAGTCCCGTGGCCCCAGCCCCCTTCTACTGCACAAAGAGCTCCATGCTGGTATCACAAGTGGGTAGCAGGCCGCCCCACCACTTCCCTTTTCATTCCACAGGCAGGCCTGTCAGTTCTCATACCTACCACCCAGGGATAGAGAAGAGACATTGCAAGACGTCAGAAAGAAATGCTTGCATGCCCACGTGCACGGCAGCACTACCCACAGTCACCAAAAGGTGGCGCCAACCAATGTCCGTTGATGGATGAGTGGATGCACAAGACGTGGTCTATCCATGCGTGGGAATGCTAGGCAGCCCTCAAAAAGAACGAAGTCCCGACACACACAGCAACTTGGATGAAGCTTGAAAACTATGCTCAGGGAAAGAAGCCAGACACAAGAGACCACATATCCTAGGGTTCCGTTTCTTTGAAATGTCTAGAACAGGCAAATCCGCAGAGACAGAAGGGAGATGAGTGGTTGCCTGGGGCTGAGGGAAGGGCATGGGGAGTGACGGCTGATGGGGATGGGGTTTCCTTTTGGGGTTAATGAAAACGTTTTGGAACTAGACAGAGGTGGTGGTTGCACAATATCGTTAATTTTATGTTATGTGAACCTCATCTCAATTAAAAAAAAAAAAAGGAAGAAGGAAAAGATGGTGGAATGAGCCCATGAATTGGGAGTCACACTGGCCAAGGTCTAAATCCTGACTCTGTGTGACCTTCAGCAGGTCAGTCTGTTCCCTCATCTGCAAAAGCAGGTTGGAGGAGGTGTCCACTCCACGGGGCTGCTGCGGGCGGCAAACCAAGTATCGAAAGAAGAAAATAAAGCTGTTCCCCCTTCGAAAGAACTCCTTCTTCTAAAAGGTCTTTCCAGGGCGTGAAAATGGCTTTCTACCCCTATTTCTCAGCAGAGAGGAAACTAATTTTTGAAGCAATCTGGAAGATCATATAGGCCTGAAGTCCAAGGTTCTCAAACAATTAAGCTGCAAAAGGACGCCCCTTTCCAGAGACGCGTCCTCCCCACCCGGGCCATCACCATCTGCGCCGGCCCTGTGTTGAGCCTATGGAGTCCTTCTCACAGTATTTCACGGTGATGGGTGTCGCTCACCTAGGGTTTCAGTGTGAGCCCATTTAGTGGACCTGGCAAGCTGAGGCCAGGAGAGGAAACCGTCCCTGACGAGAGTCACACTGTCCGATCAGAAAAGGAAAGCAGGGTTTCCACTTCTTGGTGTCATGTCCTAATTTCACAAAAATCAGGTGAATTTTGAGCATAAGATACTGGGAAATGTAACAAACCAGAGAATTTCAGAGGTACGTGCTTAGGTAACTAATGATGCCGATGACGCTGTTCTGCCTCTGGGAAGGAAGAGGACGTGTTCAACACAGCTGGAAGGAGTTACCAGTTCTGAAAAACGAGCTGTGTGGCTGACCCCAGCTTCCCTCAAGAAGTCAAAGAAGCTCTCCCCTTTGATGCTTGTCACAGGCGACCCACCAGCTCCTGACCGGAAGACGGACCACACAAAGGCATCACTATTAACTGGGCCTATTAGGCTATGAAAGGCTACCATAAATAATGTGTCATTTTTTCATCTGATCCTGAATGCAGCGAGTGTTTGCCAGATGTCATGGAAGCACCAGGTGCAAAGCTGCATAATTGCCGTTCAGGGTCTTCCACTCGTACGTATGGAGAAGGCAGAACAGGGCAGTTTGCGTTTGGAATGGCCATCTGAGAAAATGCCAGTCATCTCAAATGCAATGTGGTTCTGAGGGCTCAGCATTAAAGCAGCAGAATCTACTCTGGTCGTGGAGCTAAGAATAGGTCTGAGCTGATATTGAACATGAGTGCCTCAGCAGGCCCCGAGCTGCTACAAAGCACAGCGAGCTTTCCAGTAGGCCAATTCCAAGGCCAGTGGCCAAGTGTGGTCACCTGAGCCTTTTCAAATTGCATTTGGAAGGTGGGCGTTCGCTGTGAGCTCAGCAGTGTGCTGGGAGCATTCTCTCGAATGGACCGTGGCATCGCCCTGTCCGAGCAGGAGAGTGTGAAGGTCAAAAAGGCGAGCAGTATTTCCCTGGGGAACCCCACTGAACTAAAGAGCTCTTACAAATGAGAATAGAACACAACGGAATAGACTAGAATAAGGTAGAACGGGAGGATTCTACATAGATTCTGGAACAGAATAGAATGTTATATTATTTTGATTCCCAATAAATTTGCATGTTATTACATATAATAATATGTAAAAATCAATAGCTTTCCTCTATAAGAGGAACAACCAGTCAGGAACATAGTGAAAAAAATTCCATTTATAATAGCATGCAAAAAGAAAAGCATCTCTGAGGGAGGAGATCCAAGATGGCGGCATGAGTAGTCTTCTTTGTCTCTCCCCCTTCGAATCTACAACTAATTGGACATTCATCGCTTAACAAAGGATATCCATATAGCATCTCAGGACGCCTGAGAGACCCACGCTGCTATACATCAGAAGGCAGACGGACTTCCCTCGGGGAGGAGGTGGAGATAGGTGAAAACTCTCCGACCCCAACCCCCGAACAGCCTAGTACCTGCAAGCGGCTTTCTTCCAGCGGACGCCCCCAGAACATCGCCACACACCAAGGGCAGGAGGGAGCGTGCACCAGAGGAGCGACGGTGGAAACAGGTAACCAGAGCCCTACCTAAGCCCCCCGCAATTACACCTAAGCCCAGAGGGAAGCTCCAGAGTTACACACCAGAGGCGGCGGGGAAAACCCCTACCCGCCATTAGTGGAGAGTCCCCGCCCAGCATCCACAACGCCAGGAGGCTCCCAGAGAGAATCCCCAATGGGGCAGCAGCCCGCCAGCTGCCGCCACCGGTCTCACAGACTGTGGCTGTCGCCCGATTGGGGCTCGGGACTACCGGAGATCTCCTGGGAGAGGACTGGGGCTGGGTGGAGCTCCAGCGGCCGGCACCACAGCCTAGGGGTGAAACTCCAGAGTTCCGTCCAGGCAGCAGGCAAAGTCTCTACCTGCCATTAGCGGAGAGGCCCCGTCCAGCATCCACAATGCTGGGAGGCTCACGGAGAGAATCCCAAATGGGGCGGCGGCCTGCCAGCTGCCGCCGCCGGCCACACTGAGTGTGGCTAATGCCCTGGCGGGGCTTGGGGCTACCGGAGATCTCCTGGGAGAGGACTGGGGCTGGGTGGAGCTCCAATGGCCAGCTCCGCGGCCCGGGAGGGAAACTCCAGAGTTCCGTCTGGGCAGCAGGCAAAGTCTTTACCTGCCATTAGCGAAGAGGCCCCACCCAGCCTCCACAACGCCGGGAGGCTCCCGGAGAGAATCCCAAACGGAGCAGTGGCCCGTCAGCTGCTGCCGCTGGCCCCACTGACTGTGGCTATCACCCGGTCGGGGCACAGGGCTACTGGAGATCTCCTGGGAGAGGTCTGGGGATGGGTGGAGTTCTGGCAGCCGGTGCTGTGGCCCAGGAGGAAACTCTGGGCTTGCATCCTGGCAGCAGGCATAGCCTCTACCCACAAATAACGGAGAGGCCCCACCCAGCACCCACAACGCCGGGAGGGTCCTGAAGAGGAGAATCCCAGGCAGGGCAGCAGCCGGCCAGCTGCCACTGAACTCAAGGTCTCTGGCTATCCCCCAGACAGGGCAAGGGGCTCCCCGAGATCCTGGGGGAGAGGACTGGGGCTGGTGGAGTTCCAGCGACCCGGCTCCGTGGCCCAGGGGGAAACTCTACAGTCTCACAGCTGCCTCAGCGAAAGCCTCTGCACAGCACTAGTAGAGAGCACCCACCCAGCAACCACAAGGCTGGAAGACCCTGGGACAAAAGTAGCATAGCTAGGTGAGCTAACCACAGACTGCAGAAGATGCCGATAGCTCTGCTGTGACCCATAGTGGACAAGTGAGATTTTGTGGGCGCCGACAGTAACAGAGCTGCAAATATAGGTGATCCTGCCCCTGGCTGCTGGGAAAACCCATAACACCACTGCAGACCCTAAGGAGGGTACACATCTAGGTGGTCTGCAACAGTAAGGACCAG